ACACTTGTTCCAAGGAGGAAGCACATGCTTCAAGGGAGAAAAGCCTTTGATTAATAGTGGGCCTTTAGCACATTGCTTGGCGTCATTGACGCAAAAGTCCGAGAAGCTGAACATCTGGGCCAGAGCTAACACATCACAAGATATTTTGCTGCACGTGCCAGCGGTGCTTGGCCATTCTTTGGCGCATTTTGCTTGGATGTTAGGACTTCAACTTTTTGCCAACTAATGTGTTTTCCATCAAACCACTAAAAGTTATTCACTTTCAGCGGGGGAGCAGAGGTTGCAACCGAGGGTTGCATCGAGAGCTGTGGTCTACTAGCCTTAGGTCATTTGCAGCCCGTGGCTTTCGAGACGACGGCGGACCCACCGAAAATAGCCCCAGTGGAGCCAGAATGAACCCCCGGGTAGTTGAAGGTTTGTAGGGGACAGTTCCAACCATAGAATGGGGTGTTGCCGCCGTCCCTTCACAAGGCTTTGGGCTCAGCATGTTGGTGCCAGGTTGTGATTATGACTTAGTGGCTCCGTTTTGCCGGTCTCTTTACGACTCCCACCCCCAGGTCTCAGGCCTCAGACCGGATGACACCCCGCCTGTTGCCTGGAGGAATGGTTCGATGCCACCCTTGAGGGCCTAGGCCGTCGTGAGCGGCTGGGGTGACCTGGTGAACTCCTTTCGTATTGGCTTGGTATGCATATCTTGGTGGCTCCCAGCCATCCCCATAGCCTTTTAGCTTTTTTGGTGTTTAGTGGTAGTTTCCATTTAACCCACTAAAAGTTAAAAACTGTTCGCGGGGGATCTGAGGGCGGCCCAGATATGGGGGCTGTTTTTGAGCCTACTGTTTTGGGGGCTGGTTCCAAGGGAAACCGAAAGGAAACCCACCATTTTAGGGGAGCCCTACAAAGGACGCCCATGTATCCTGAGCACACTTCCAGAGAGGACCTTTGTGAATTGGTATATTGCAAGGGCACTTGCCCTTTTGCGTGGTTGGGCTTAATGTGCACATTGCCAAGGAGAATGTCAACTCACATGGGCTTTGTGATAAAGCTTCCTCTGCGCGGGCATTGTGGCAGTTTATCCTCAAACTTACGAGCGGGAGTGTGGGAGAATGTTCCTCACTCTCATGGGGATTCATTTGGTGGAATTGCCTATCAGCCCGTGCAGTGCCAATGATGCAGCCCACGCTGCCTGTGTTTGGTTTGGCCGCCAGGCTTTTGTCCAGACGCTGGAATTGTGGCAAGCAGTGCAGATAACGGACAGATGGGGAGGGAGGCTCCCAAATACAGAGTTTTGTGGAGGGCCAAGGCCAGCTCCGAAAACAAAAAGTTCTTGCAAGGGCCAATCTGGCCAAGGTTTCGATTTAAGAACGCCCTGACATGTTTGGCATGAAGATACATGACAGCTCCCCGAAAATGCAGGGTGGCCCCATAGAATCGACCTGAGATGGTTTCCGCTACCCCCAAACCACTACAGTTGCGTCATTGTATAGCCATGCTTTCACCACGCTAGACAGGTTGAACGCACCCCTTCCGCGGCCCCGTGCCCAGCGGCGTAGGTATTTGGGAGCCCATCTTGGAATCCCAAGAATGGTTTCAACAATCCAGCCCTTGGAAAACGAGTGGTGAATACGCCTTGCGGATTACTTTCGGGGCTACCCCGGGTGCCCTCAAAAATGTGTTGCACCCCCACATCAAAATCACACATCCTAGGTTCCCATTAGCCAGCAAAAACCTCCACCAGCTACAGTGGGCAAAGTTCCAGCACCGGTTTGGCGATTTGTGCTTCAGGGCCTCTAGGGTGGCAATTTTCTCCCCCAGCATACTGACATCCTTGGAGGGCGGCCAGCACTGAACTGCCGGGCGGAGCTGGCGCTGGCGGAGCTCAGGCGTCTGCAGGCGAGGCCGAGTTCCGTTGATTGTCCTGGTTTGGTTTGCTCTGAGTTATTTTTTATTTATTTTTGTTTACCTGGGAGGGTACTGGTACCCCTCCCAGTTGGGTTAAAGATGGCACGACCTTCGCATCTCGATGTCGCTGTTTACGGGCATGAAATGGAAGGAAGGGTGCCATCGACTTTCGCCCTCGACTTGGCAACCTTTCCACTTTATGTTGGAGACCCGTCCGTGGCCCATGTCTCTAGATGTCCCCGCTCATTTTGGTAGCCGTCTTTCCGCTTTGGAGCGTTTGAACATCATGCGTTGGAAAGGCGAAGTTGGTTTGTGAGCTTCCTCGGTTCGCGATGCTTTCTTTGACGGAGGGCCAACAAAGCAAACGCAGCTCAAGGCTATAAACTGCTCGTCCTGATGACTCCCAAATGTTCCGGGTTTCTCTATTTCGGGTTCCATAAGAGTGGCTTTCCAGTAGCAAAAGGTGAGGTGAGTTTGCTCAGGAGAAAGCCTGCTCAAACCTTGTCACACACGCACACACGCTCAAACACGCTTGCAAACACACACAGACACAGGCACAGGCACAGGCAAAGGCATGGACGCATGCGCGCACACACACACACACAGGCGCAAGCGCAAGGAAGCGTGCTTAAGAGAGCTGGAAAAAAGAGCCCACAACATTTCGAGTCCCGCGCTTCCATGCCGATGTTTTTTACTCTCGGCTGTCCCGTGCTCACCTCTTAGCCTTTGGGCTTCCCTTCCGTTGGTCAAGGGGTTCCACGTGGACCGTTTCTTGGTGTCTGAAAGGCCATCCTTAGCCTTTGAGATGCTTGTTAGTTGGAGAAAGGTTGGTTGTCCGAATTTCACCCACTAAAAGTTATTCACTTTTAGCAGGGGATCAGAAAACGGACAGCCCAGGTTTGTAGTGCTGGTCAAGGTGCTGTTAGCTGTGCTCAAGGTGTGTGCTCAGGTGGCCGGCAGTCCTTGTTTAGCGACGCAGCCAGGGTACTGGTCAGGGCGTGGTTTCGGGCGAGGGTGCTGTGTGGGGTGAAGGTGGGGTGATGGCTGATGCCAAACAAGCGCAGTCAGGGTGCTGGCCTTTTGACGTGCTCTGGGTTCTCCATGCTATCTGGGGCCTAATGTTGACCCCGGATTGATTATGCCCCAGTGTATTAATAGGGGGGTGTCCCTGGGTTTAGTGGGGATTCGTCACTTTTGGAGGGGAACACCCCCAGAGGAATAAACTAGGTGTACTAATCCGGGGTCAACATTCGGCTGGTCTAGTTTTTGTCCAGCCCGGCTCTGCCAGGACGCCTGCGACCGGCCGGGGTGATGCAAGTTGCAATTCAGATGCAGGTCCGCGGAACCGAGGTGGTTTGGGAAGAGCCGCTGGGATAGAGCCGCAAGGAGCACCAAGCTCTGGAAATGTGGGGCAGTCGGCCATGGATCCTGGGCTATCAGAAATGATTTCAGCCTTAGGTTCGCCAATGGTACGCACTTAGCGATCCTTCCCGGAGCATCCAAGAAAGGAGCGCCGTAGAATTCCGTTTTGGGGTTTGACTCAGATTGCATTTAATCGGAAATTCGCTGCACGGCTAGGGTAAGCTCAGTTGAGCTGCAAGATTTTATGGCACAGGCCCAAAAAGGGACGCGTGCCGGGAAGGGCATGCAGGAGCCTTGACAACAGACTTTGCCAAGATCTTTGTGAGCATACCCTTGGGCTTGCTTGAAGGGGCCAAAGGACTACTGATTTGGGGCGGGGGGGGGGGGGGGGGCAGGAGACAATCCCCGGCGCAAGGAACTGTCCAAGGGTTTAGGCCATTGCAGAAGAAGGGTCCGAAGCTCACAATAGCCAACCTGATTGTGCCTGAATGTCCCACACGGAAGGTGCGAGGCACGGTGGTGGGACTTCCTCAGGAATTGTTGAGGTTTGCGCACAGGACTTGGAAAGGACGGCGTGCGGTGGCTCATTGCTTCCTTTTTTTGGCGGCAACGCTATTCGAGTGAACCACCCATCTTGTCATGGGATGTTTCTTCGGAGGAAATGAGGCATGTGAAGTTGTGGATGGACGGAATCCTGCACCTAAGAAACCCTAGAATGAGGATTTCCCGGTGAATGCCAACAAACGATGGTTTACCATGGTTTCCAAGTGGTGCAAAATGGATTTCGCAACCATCCACAGCAGCTTGACTGCACTCCTTGGTGAGAAAGCTCTGCGCAGAGGGCTGAGGGCGAAACCTTGTTGGCCACTCCAAGGCGCCTTAGGATACTAGGCCCTTTAGTAGTGCTCTTTCTCACCCTCTTTTTTTTTTTGGGGAGGGTTCCACTACTAAAATAGACTACAGAAAAAAGGGAACCCTTATTCTCTAGGATACCTCCACTCGCTGCACTTTCGTCGCCTGCTGGTCAAAGCGGGAATGCTAGCGGGTTTCGAGTCAATTTGGGGTACGTGAGTCAACGGCAGGGACCCTCCAACTGTATGCTGATTCGCACTGCAATGGATTCAGGTGTTGAAACACATCCATGTTGCAGAAGTGTAACTTGATCCTTTGCGCGAAAGGGGCAGGACAACAGGTTGTTTGCCGGAGGATCTGGAATGCAACGATTCCATGTTTGCCGATGTTTTTTTTTGGAAAAACAAACGATTCCACTGCTTCGGGTGTAAATCAAGCAACCCCCCCGTCTTTTCTTGGGATCCAATTGGGGGCGTCCTAAAATGGGGGGGTTTCCCAAATGGTTGTCCCTCTGGTGTTTTCTTCAAACAAGCCTGAAGAAGGGAACAAACAAACGACGGCATTTCTTGCTTCAGGTTTGGGACAGATTGCAGGTGTGGGAGCATGCTCCAAGAGGTATCCTCCACAACCGGCAGGCCCCTAGATTTTGACCCCGGCTGAGTGTTAGGCTTTCACGCGTTCTTTTCTTTTAGTTTTGCACCCAAAATGGATCGGGAAGAAGAGGGTTCCAAAGGCACCCAACAGAGTTCACGTGTCCAATTCCTCCTCTACCAATCCTTTTCCCAAAAATCAACCAATTCCCACTAAAGACCAAGGTGTCCAAATCTTTGTCCAGGGTGGGGCTGAGATTCTTTTCCCTCCATGGCCCCTTCACGGCTACCGGCGGCATGGGCGCGGCGCCGTGCGCCGCCGGAAACTTCGGGGCGCCCCTGGCGCTGACTCAGGATGACCTGCGCCTGAGACGAGGGGTGGTTCCATGTGGCTGTGGGTCAAAAATGGGTACACATCCACCAACTAACATGGAAGTGCACCAAGCCCCTTTCCAAGAGGAAAGTAGTCTTTCTAATTACAGGGGTCTGTGCACTTCCATGTTAGTCGGTGGGAGGGTACCCAACATGGAGCCCCTGGTGAATGGAACCCAGGACTCAAACCATGCGGTCCAATTTATGGTGGTTTGATTGTAACACCCATTTGGCCGTGGCAACCAAAAGAAGGAGTCTTCAAAATGGCCCCAAAATGGCAACCAACATGTGGCTCACAATAATTTAACCCAGATGGCCGCTTGGAAAAAGAACCAACACTATCGCGGTTGGCCCTGGCTTTTGAATATGGAGCTATAACGATTTGGCCTTTTGACTTTTTGGGGAACCACCTCAGTGGTTGCACCGTTTGGACTCCAAAGTTGATGTCACATGAATGGACCGTATAGAAGCAGGTTTGCCTTGTCCACAGCCGCTTGCAGTCCTTGTCTGTTTTGAGTCGCCCGAAAAGGTTGACCGTTTTGCCAGTGTGTTCCCCGAAAAATACGCCCAGTCAGAAGCAACAAGCAACAGCTCGCTGTCCGAAACGTACAGCTTCAATCCGCCATCCGAAACTGGCTCGCAGCCATTCGGTTCCTTAGCTTTTTGGATCCTTTTCTCGTGGGTTTAGTGGTTGGGCTTCCGAAGTTCACCCACGGGGAAAAAAAAGAAGAAGGTGAATCTCACTTTCGGAGGGGATCAGAAAAACCCGACAGTCCAGCAAAGAGTGATTCCCCCTCCCACGCCTATTCAATAATTATTCGATCTAATGTATATATATATATATATCATATTACCTCTCTTTAAACTTGTATAAGATTAGGGTTTGGAATTCTATATAAATTAGGGCTTAGGGTTTTGAATAAGCTCTTAACCCTAAACCGAGCCCCAAAGACCTCACAGCGCCCCAGGTGCCAGCGACTGGAGCACCTGGACCTCTCCAAGTGCCTGGCGCAGCAGGCGGCCCGCAAGGCGCGCCTGCAGGCGTGGAGTTTGTTTTTCGCGTGTTTGTTTGTTGGGTTTGAGGGGGGGGGATTGGGGGGGTGTGGGGGGTGTGGGGGGGTGTGGAGGGGGTGGGGGGGAGGGCAAGTTTGGGGGCATTCCATTGCCCTTTTTGGTAGTTGTTGTTGTTTTTGGGAAGAACTGCGGGGCTTAGCGAGACGGGGCAAGGCCCGAATCCACGTTCCGAGCTTGGAACGTGTCTCGAGATTCGGTTGCATGGTGAAAAAAGGCTCCTCACTTCTCGCTTGGGCCTCGGTACTTTTTTTCTTCTTGGTTTTGGAGGTCAACATGGCCTGAAAAGTCAGGGTGTGCACATCCCGCTCTCCAAGAAATTGGGGACGAAGCCATTCAGCTCAAGCAAGTTCAAGCTGCATGGGTTTCGGCGCCCAAAGCGCAAACTTCGACCCCCAAGCCCGGAAAAAAAATCCCCGAGGTCAGGGGGCCTCTTTGAACTGAAAAGGTGGTGATAGGGATAGCCCGCTATGGTACACATGTCACCCACCATGCCGACAGGTACAGGGGCAGTTGTGGGCTGAATCCAGAAAAGGAAGATAAGCAAGAAGCAATGGGGGGAGGGCGACGCCCGGAAACTCCATTAGGTGAATCACATCGGGTCCCGAAAACATGGGTGTGCCTGTTTAAACAGTCAGCCTTCCTCTTGGCTTACCTTTACAACCACCGAAACAGGGCCGCACAAATCCTCACGCGGGACACGCAAGCGCTTGCCCAGGCGGCAGCGCTGCGCCCGCTGCTCGAGTCCCAGGACTGGGCGGGCGAAATGGCTGTGGCTCAAAATTAAACAGGAGGGGCAAACCGCAGGTTTTGGTCCATGTTTCCACTTACCAGGGCAAGCCATTTTGGTACCGTTTTTTTGAGCCACAGCCAAATATTTATACTCCCTGGAGATGACTTTGGGAGTTTTACATTGGGTGTCACATGTGGCCGGTCCTATGTGCGTTTCAGCGACCGAGTTTCTACTCCCATAAGTCCTATGGCATCTTTTGGGAGTATACCCACAAGGTGTCGAGTTGGAGGGAACCTCAGGTAATCACCCAATCAGTGGCTTGGATTGGTGATTTGGGGATTTGAAGCTTTGGCTATTTTGCAGCGCTGCAACTGGAAAACCGTTCCTTAACCAGCAAACCACCAATCCCAAACCACTAATTAGAGAAAACATCTGAACGTGCCTCTTGGAGGTGATTGCATGTTTGGGGGATGTGGTGTTATTCATTCGCCAGCAGATTCGACACTTTCTTTTGGTAAGGGGGCTACGGACTGGCTCAAGCGCTCATGTCATCTTCTACAGGAACAGAGGTGTTGTTCAGAAGGGCCTTGAGTGGAAAAGCTAATGCAACAAGCATCAACATGGTTCAACCGTGCTCAGGAAAATTACAAGGGTGACAGGTTTTTGTGGACTATGATTTGCTATTGGTAAGAGGTCGGATTGTAATTGTCTGAATGCTTCTGTATGTATTTGAATATCTGTGTATATGTTTGAATGTGTTTAATTTGTTTTAAGGTGTTTGTACTTTCTTATTTTCTTGTATCGTTTGATTGTGTTTGCATTTGTTTGTATTTGTTTGACTTTTTTGAATGTGTTTGTATTTTCTTGACTGTGTGGGCCTGCTTACCCAGACGCTCGTGGGCCCTCCTAGGGAGGGTCCGGGGCCCTCCTAGGGAGGGACCGGCCTGTTTGTCGGATACGGGGCCCTCGTGGGCCCTCAGTGCCATCCTGAGCTCCACGCCTTTTGCCTCAAGAACTGCCAGCTTTGAGACCAGCTTCAGCTACATCTAAAATGAGGTCTTGCTACCGCTAGGGCCCGCTTTGGTGAGCATACCGTGACAACCACATGTTCCAAATCTAGTGCAGTGAAGCTGCAAGATGGTGAAAGTGAAAGAAAGTTGTTTACACATCGAACTCGTTGCTTTGATGCACCCTGCTCCCACCCGGAGCCGCCGAGCGATGGCCGCTCACTCTGAAGATGCCTCGCCGGTTTGGAATTCAAGGCGGGGTCAGGGCTGATGGGGCTGGAGAGGAGGTGAGATCCCATTGCAAAAGCACAAAGTTGACAAAATGTCGAATAATGGTGCTAAGTTGCTCAGGGTCCGAAGCTTGCAAGACAACGAAGTTGCACGTGCAAAGCATGGATTTTCTCATGTCCTCTATATAGCCCTTTTGCGGCCCGAACAAGTTGTGACAGCCCCGGCGGTATCCCTGACTATGTCGCTGGATGGAAGGGAAGCTGATGCAGCTGGCAACTTGGCATACCGGGGTGGAAGAATCGAGCAAATTTGTGTTCAAGACTCACTGGCCTAGGTATTCTGCAACTGCACATTCCCGCAGAAAGATTCGTGCAATGCTCCAAAGCTCGGCCGCCGAACAACTCCCTGATTGAAGTTCCGAATGTGGGTGCGATTCAATATGCCGACATGGCTCGCCACATTGATTTGATTTGCGGACTCTATGGCATGTCTCCCACAGGCCGCTGACACCCAAGTTACGTTGCACAATATCATGTGCATGCGCGGTACACACATGTGTGGTTTTGTGGGCGTGCGCTTGAGGGTTTTCAAAATAACAAGACCGTGTTTTCATCATGTTTGCTTTTGTGTGTTCGGTGAGTGTGTGCTGTGATGTGTGGTGTGCGCTGTGCGGTGCTGGGATAGGGTCGTACTTACGCTGGAGTTATAAGTGACTTAGCACTTAGCTTGGACTTATAAGTAACTTATCTTGAACTTAGAAAAGAGGTTTTTCTAAGTCCGCTAAGTTCATTCTAAGTTCATTGAGTTTGCAAACACATGCGTTTTGAAGCATGGCAACGATGAAGCATTACGCGCTGGAAATCACACATTTTCGTGTGACTCAACGCAGCAGGGCAGGCGCGCGCGCGCATGCAGTTTACGCTGTTTGTTCGCGCCGCTTCGCACGCTTGGCTCGATGGAGCCGGAGCATTTTTTGCACTGATTGACTTGGTTTCATTTTGTTGTGCGATAATCGTTTCTATAGCGGTGTCTCCGCTGGCGGCCGGTCCGCCTTCATATAGTCGCATGGGGTGGTTTCTCCGCCGGCGGCCGGTCCGCCCATTTTGCTTTTCTCGTTTGATGATATATCATTGTAGCGGTGGTTCCGCTGGCGGCCGGTCCGCCAAGCTTTTTTTGCCACGTTCATTTTCATTTCGAGATGGCACTTGAAGCGGTTGTCCGCTGGCGGCTGGTCCGCCCAGGAATTGTTCGGCGTGATTTTTATTTCGAGATGGCACTTGAAGCGGTGGTCTGATGGCACCTTGCGATTTTTTGCATGTTTGGATTGTGAGTGCGCGGATGAAAGGCTGCAAGACTCAATCAAGGCTCCAGAATCCAGACTGCTGACTGCAAACTCCACACTCCAGACTGCAGACTCCAGACTGCAGACTCCAAACTGCAGACTCCAGACTGCAAACTCCAGACTCCAGACTGCAGACTCCAGACTGCAGACTCCAGGCTGCAGACTCCAGACTGCAGACTCCAGACTGCAGACTCCAAACTGCAGACTCCGGACTGCGAACTCCAAACTCCAGACTGCAGACTCCAGACTGCAGACTTCAGACTGCAAACTCCAGACTCCAGACTGCAGACTCCAGACTGCAAACTCCAGGCTCCAGAGTGCAAACTCCAGACTCCAAACTGCAGACTCCAGACTGCAGACTCCAGACTGCAGACTGCAGACTCCAGACTGCAGACTCCAGACTGCAAACTCCAGACTCCCGATGCAGACTCCAGACTCCAGACTGCCAACTCCAGAATCAAGACTGCAGACTCCAGGCTCCAGAATGCAAACTCCACAGACAGACTGCAGACTCCAGACTCCAGACTCCAGACTGCAGACTCCAGACTCCAGACTGCAGACTCCAGGCTGCAGACTCCAGACTGACTGCAGACTCCAGACTGCAGACTCCAGACTGCAGACTCCTGACTCCAGAATCCAGACTCCTGACTCCAGAATTCACAGTCCAGACCCCAGAATCCAGCATCCAGACAGCCCCGCCCCAAAGCCCGGAAAGGCCGGTGCAGTTTTTTCGAACTTAACAAAACTTAACTTAACTTAACCTGGGCGGGTCGTGTGGAGCCGTGGAGTCCCTATTGTAACTCAATCAACTTAACTGCCAAACTTTCCCCGTGAGGCCCAGTTGCGTCACCACGACTTAACATAACTTAACTTGGCCCCGTGGCCGAATTCCACCACAAAATGATCAGGATCCTGGAGCCAGGAGTCATTGTGTCTGGAATCTGGAATCTCGAGTCTGCAGTCTGGATTCTGGAGTTGGCAGTCTGGACTCTGCAGTCTGGAGTCTGCAGTCTGGAGTCTGCAGTCTGGAGTTTGCAGTCTGGAGTCTGGAGTTTGCAGTCTGCAGTTTGGAGTCTGCAGTCTGGAGTCTGCAGTCTGGAGTGTGGAGTTTGCAGTCAGCAGTCTGGATTCTGGAGCCTTGATTGAGTCTTGCAGCCTTTCACCCGCGCACTCACAATCCAAACATGCAAAAAATCGCAAGGTGCCATCAGACCACCGCTTCAAGTGCCATCTCGAAATAAAAATCACGCCGAACAATTCCTGGGCGGACCAGCCGCCAGCGGACAACCGCTTCAAGTGCCATCTCGAAATGAAAATGAACGTGGCAAAAAAAGCTTGGCGGACCGGCCGCCAGCGGAACCACCGCTACAATGATATATCATCAAACGAGAAAAGCAAAATGGGCGGACCGGCCGCCGGCGGAGAAACCACCCCATGCGACTATATGAAGGCGGACCGGCCGCCAGCGGAGACACCGCTATAGAAACGATTATTGGACAACAAAATTAAACCGAGTCAATCAGTGCAAAAAATGCTCCGGCTCCATCGAGCCAAGCGTGCGAAGCAGCGCGAACAAACAGCGTAAACTGCATGCGCGATGGCTCACTGCGCGGTCCTGCCGCGATGGCTCACTGCGCGGTCCTGCCGCGATGGTCGCTGCGCGGTCCTGCCGCGATGGTCGTTGCGCGGTCCTGCCGCGATGGTCGCTGCGCGGTCCTGCCGCGATGGTCGCTGCGCGGTCCTGCCGCGATGGTCGCTGCGCGGTCCTGCCGCGATGGCTCGCTGCGCGGTCCTGCCGCGATGGCTCACTGCGCGGTCCTGCCGCGATGGTCGCTGCGCGGTCCTGCCGCGATGTGTTTTCCAAACATGGAAGCGGCCCCGCCGCCGCTACGCCGTGTTCCGCCCTGCGCGGTCTAGCCGGGAGCGACCGTACGTCTCGAAAAATGATGCGCGCGCGCGTAGTCCGGTGTCA